ATATGTTTTTATTTATTTATTATTTATTTGTTGTTTTGCATTCATTATCGCTTGTAATCATTTAATTTTTTTTAATGAGTTAATTAACTTTTTTGTCTTATTTCATTTACTAGTTATTACAAAAAATGAAAAATCATCATGGTGCAGCACTACAAAATGTTCAAAATTTCATTTGGAAGATTTTTGGATACAAAAAGCTCTTCTCTCTAAAAAGCAATGCTGCTGTGGCAGAAATTATGAAGTGGAAGCAGAGTGATCAGGTTGCTGCTTGTTTTCACTCCCTATTCCAACAAAATAATGATGGTGTATATTAGATAGTAGTTATCACAAGGACTGCTTTTTCTATGATTGCAGTATCTGATTTATCAAATGAACACTGTGCATTCGCGTTAGCTATGTGCGATATATTATTGAATCCATGATCATGTAAGATTGTATATACAATAAATAGTATAAAACACCGTATGGTGAAGTATTTGGTAAGTATTTAATTATATATCGCTTTATATCACTTTATATTAATTCAATATTAATGGGTTTGCATTAAGTTTTGCATTATAGGATGATTTCAATAAAGGAGGCCCCTCCTACAAATCCACTGAAGCATTAATGAACAATAAGTTAGAGAAAGATAGTAAAAAATTATAACCAACCACTTCAAGTTATGACTCTGAACCTGAGCAAACATTGCAAGCATTATGATCCAATTCGATGCAACTTTCACAAGAAGAGTTGGATGAATTGTTTGCACCCTATTGAAAGCAGCGTTTTTATTTTTTGTCTTTGCATTATGTGTTGCTAATCTTTAATATATGTAATATTGATATTGTAAAAAATTAAATATATATAATAAATTGCTTTTAATAAATTACTTTTAATAAATTGTTTTTAATAAATTAATTTGATAGTTTATTTTAAAACTTATATGACTTGTATACTTATTTTTTTATAGTATTATATTTTTGAAATATATATTACTAATAAAAGTGGTCATTTGCCAAAATAGGATATATATCGATTATACTCATAATCGATCATTATTATTTAAAGATTAACCAGATATATATCGATTATTATCATAATCAATGATAATCAGCAGAGAGGATTATAATCAATATATATCTATATGATTAGTAATTGATATATATCTCTATATAAATTTTGCTGATAGAACCTAAAAACAAAATTGTAAAATTACTAGAGATATAGCTAAATAGCAGAATGAGAGAAGTGCTGGTCCATAAGAAAGCAAAAGAAATTGTTAGTTAAATAGTTAAAGATCTGAGATACAAAAAGATGACAATGAGCCAAATTACATATATAAACAATACAGTAATAATTTCTAAGCTAGGATATCTTTTATAGCTAACAAAAATATTAGAAAAAATAATTGATAAAATACATCAACCATTAATATGCTTAGCTAAACATAAGTGCAATATAATGAAAACATTAAACAACTGCATAATTGAGTACAAAGACTTAAATAATTGCAAAACACTAAGCCAAGAAATAATAATCAAGCAAATAAGCAATCTTTTCTCAAGACTCAATAGACAAGATAGTTTGGGCAAATTAACAAGACTTAGAATAGCTAAAGGATGTCAAAAAGTAGGCTTAACAGAAGACATTTGGGACAATAAAAGAGAAATAGAAGTTAAGAAGTTTTGGAAAAACAATCTTGTCTGTTAAACAATAGCTAAAGCAAAAGAAATAGATATAAACATCAAAGCAAAAAGACCCTTATAGAAAGTTTATGAACTTGGTAAATGAATAAGAGACATGCTGAAAACAAAAACATGAATAGCAAATAGTAGTACAATAAATAAATAGAAATTACTATATTTGAACTAACTTATAGATATGAAAGGTGATATCCTGATCATATAGAGACAGCTCAAGAGTCTTCAAGATTTGTTATGCAAAAGAAAGAAAGCTAAATAGTTTAGTAAAATAGAAGAAAAAATACTAAGAACACAAATGAGCAAAGAAGTACAAGACTATTACAAAGTAAAAAGATACAATACACAAGCATTAAAGATTAAGTAGACAAAGATAACTGAAGACCAAAGAAAATAAGAATAGATCATTCACAGACTGAAACACAACCAGCAATTAGACAAAATAATTAAAAAAAAAAAGAAAAAAGTTTTGGCAAAGCATTGGACAATACATATAGAAGAAGAGAGAACATTGACAGAATTAAGTATATGCAAAGGTTGTAAAAACAGTTTAGAACAAATAACAGTCAAGTGTGAAAAATTGATAAGACAAGATCACAACATGAGAGTAATATCAGGATTGCTAATAAAAAAAGCTAACAATAAGATAAATGCAATGTTAGAGCAGATACTAGAAGATAGAATAATAGAAAAATAGAAAAAAGACAAAATAAAGTTATTAGAAATAAGACAAACAGAAGAATTAGAAGTAGAACTAATTATAAAACAAGAATTCAATAGCAGAATTACAAATTAGTTAGTAGATATTAATACAAAACAAGAAGAAAGACAAGAGAAAATATAATTTTTATACTGTTGAAGTAATATACAAAAAGAAAGAAGAAAGCAATACAGAAAGAATAGGTATTAGTTGGGTACAAGTAGAAGAGGGAAAAGATTGGCCAGAGGAGAAAACTGCATTAGAACTAGAAGGTTGGCCTTTAGCAACAATAACAGAACTAGCAGCAATATGAACAGCAATTCTAATAGTACCAGAAGGAAAAAACATAAAAGTGTTTACAAACAACATTGCAGCATTAAGAAATATTAATAGAGCACTTCAAAATGTAGAAGAGAAAAGAACTCTGAAGAAGAAAAATGCAATGTGGATAACAAACATTGTAGGTTTAATTAAGTGCAAGAACATTAAGATAGAAATAATTAAAGTTAAAAGTTATAGTAGAAACAAGTAGAATGACAAAGCAGATTCTTTTGCAAAAAAAAAAGCAAATTGCCAAAATAAAATATATACAAACAAGGTCAAATGTGATGGGATAAAGTACTATTTAGAGTAGAAAAACAAGAAAATTAATATATTAGCAAGACTTTTTTGTAAAATAATAGTAAATATCAGAATAGAAACTAGTTGGAAAAAGACAAATTCAATACGAACATTAGAACCAGAAACAGAAAATGCATTACAGTTAGACCCTCCTAAATGCATGTTGTCAGGACCAGCCCCAAAGCATGCATTTAGAGGGAAATACAATTATAGAATAGCCAATCAAATTGTAATAAAGCTATGATTATATGAAACTGTATCTATTAGCCAATAATTGGTTACTATATGTAAAACGATATCTTTATCACTATATAACTTATATTCTTTAGTATTGTATTAGAAATTTCAAGTCAATTACAAATTGTTATTTAATGTCTTAGCTGTTATTTAAAGCATCTTTGTGCAACACTTTTGTAGTATAAACTCTATACTTTTTATTAAATTTTTTTAAATACGAAATACTTTAAGATCACAATTGCAAAAAAGTTTTTTTACTGTTGTAATTTTGAACAATCTTTTAATAAATGTTTATCATTTAAACTTATTTAAATTTACTTAGTATATGTGTATATAGAATAAAGTAGATCACTATATTTTATATATTTTCTATTATTTTTAAATTAAATTAGATCTAAGTTATTATTTTAAAGCATTTGAGAAGGACCATTAATTTATATATCATTATTCATTTATATTTAAAAGCACTTAGAATCTACAATACTTACTTGTACAGTTTAGTTTTTTATTACAAATTTAATTAGCCAGCCCAAAAAATGTTTTAAGCTCTACTTGTTTGAAAGATGCTCTTCGCAATTTTCTAATTGCTTCTTACAAGTTTGACAAAGCTTTTTCATATTTTGACCTAGTTGTATTATAAAGATTCTGTTGCAAAAAGTACTATTCTAGCAAATCTATAGCATTCAGTGCTTCATTATAAGTAACTTGGTGCATTTTTGTGTTGTTATCATTCTTATTACTTTTATCCTTTTCAGGTTCTGGATTAGTAACTAAATTTACTATTTTCTGATTACTTAATACCTTATATATTTTTTTTTCTTCTGGGTGGTCAATATATTCTTTAAAATCTATTATGTTTTGAAACTGGAGTGCTTTGATATTTTCATGTAATTTTTTCATCAATTCAATATTGTCATCATCAAGCATCTTATCACCTTCTTCTTCATTCAGATTGACTAGAAGAATTCCTATATATAGTATTAAAAATTACTGAAATTTAGCATATTATATGTAATTTTATAATAAGTTTTTGATTAATTAGTCTTTATGTAATTTATACTAACTAAACTTTTGTAAAGCCAGTACTTTATATAATTATATAAAATTTATTTTATTAAAATTGCATATATTGTAAGATTAGTACTTCATAAAATCAAATCAAGTTTTGAATTTAAATTAAATATTTGTAATTATTTGATTAAATAATTTCAAATATTTAATTCAAATTCAAAATCTGATTTGATTTTGTAAAGTACTATTACTGTAAGATTATGATTTTTTAAATCTTAATTTTACCAGTATGTTGAAAGCAGTTAAACACTATTTCTGATGATATTTCTCTTCATGCTTTGATGATAAACCTAATTGCAGTAAGAATATTTATTTTATTATCATTTTCAGTTTTATATTAATCAAACAACTCTGGTCGTACCTATATGGAAGTCTATGACGAACAAGACTTGGGATCAACCAACCAATGTGAGATAAGATCTGCAAG